AAAACTGCAGCTAGCAAACTTTGCACAACGCGTGCGATGATCTGTTCAAGGCTCCTCCCTCTCAACCCCATTCAATTCATCTTCATTCGTACTACGCATGCTGAGTCCTCTGCAGCACCGAGACTTGAGCATAGAGGCTATCGAGTCCCGCTATATATGGTCTGAAAACTTCAACCATCCCATGTTTAGTATGGGAACGATCGCGTGACCGAAACTCGACCACAGAGGTTATCAAGTCCCACTATGTATGATCAGAAACTTCAATCATACCATAGTTAAGTACAGTTTTATCTCTCAGCCGTGACGATTAAAAGATCAGCTTGAAACTTACAACCGCATCTCTAGTCGCACTGAGATGCTTTCTGCGAACTTTTGGGTGGTTTTATGCGAACATGAGGGCTTTGTTGCAAACTAACGAGGGGCTTTGTGTAAACTTTCAGGGCTTTTTCTCCGAAGTTTAGTTTGGCTCTGAGATGTTATTCTTCTAATGCAAACTTTCAGGTCTTTTTCTCCGAAGTTTGCTTGGCCCTAATATGTTATTCTTCTAATTGATTGAGCGTATTAAATCTTGCTATAGCTAGCTCTCCGGTACAATTTAGTCTTTACTATATATCGTGACAAGTAATACATGAAACAGCTCAAGTGTAACCTAAAGCGCGCGGTCAGTACAAGTTTTAATCTGAGCAGCAACCTCACGTACATAATTCTGGAAAGAGCGAGCCATTCCCTATTGTTTGTTTAAATAACAAAGCTGATGGATATACAACAACATCAATTAAAAATTTGCAGGCATCATAAAGCATCATCTACTGAGTAAGCATAAACCTTAAAAGAGTTAATTCTTATCAAGGGAGGAAAGAATCAATATGCTCTTCGATCACAAAAATCTAGAACACACCCACTCTCGCACATAAATATTACATTCTCCAACTATCCCCGCAAAACTAATTTCAAAAAGATAACACAAAATTCTGTGAATTTGATCCAACCATTCAAGAGCTACACTGCCTTCTTCCGAGCGAAGCGTTGAAGAGACTTCGGCAACTGCTCAGCCGCCTCCGCAATTCTTTGCTTCTTCAGCGCCCGCTGCTCCCCCTCTTGCTTATCCAAAACCGACCTCTTCACCCTAAACACCTCCTCCTCTTTTTTCCTCGCGATTTTACTCGGCTTACTCCTCCCCTTCGTCTTGTTCTTCACCGGCTTACTCTTAGCTTCCTCAATAGCTACCTCCATCTCTTCCTCCAGCTCCTTTTTACTCGGTTTCTCTCTTCTACTTCTTGTTGGCTTCACCGTCCCAATCTTACTCGGATCCAACATAATCGTCTCGGGCTGGAGCTTATCCAAGAGAGAATGCACCTCTTTCTCTCTCCTCTGTTTCTTCGTCTCATAAGGATTCGCCACCCAAGAATCAAAATTAGGTTCACCCGCTCCGGGAACAAGAATCGACGAAATACCCATCGAATGTCCAATCCCCAAAAGATCCTCATAAGGTCGAAAACAGACTTTTCCAACCTGATAACCCTTCAGCATTGAATGACTCATATATTTCCCATACTCCTGATCCCCGAAAGAATCTTTCCATATGTGAACCTGGGATCCGCTCGCCATTGCGAGCAAGCCCTTCTGACTGAAATCAAGGGTTTGGGCGCGGCCACCATAAGTACGAAGACACTCAAACTTCCGAAGGTCCCACAGTTTTATCGTGTGGTCGACGCCGGACGGCGGCGACTGGACCTTTGTGGCATAGCATGGTGACTAGGGGTTTCGTGCTCATGGGCTTCCACATTGTGACGTTGCCATTCATGTGTCCGAGGCTGATCACAGCGTTATAGGGGTTTACGCGCATCACTTCAGTCCGGACAGCCTTGTAGTTGCCTACCATAGTGCCTGTGCTGATGTCTTGGTAGTGAAGCTGACCAAATTTGTTGATGGATGCTAAGAGGAAGTGCTTGTCTAAGTATTGGAGCTTTCGTGGTGGACCATGATCCTGGAGGGAAAAGGAGGTTAGAATCTTACATACCTAACTGTGGGGAAGAATTTCTGCTGATATGCAAAAAGATAATTAACTCTTATGGTTTTTAAAAAAGGAGCACTTCTGAAATACTAGTTGAATTCCTAATTCTACTCTAAAATTAGTGCAAATTAAAAGGCTGGAGGATAGCTTATAATTCGCCTGGTTACATATACAGAACGGACCAAACTATATTTGGGATTAATTCAGTATTTAAAGTACTAAGTGAAGCTATCCCATATTTGCGGACATCTAAGAGAATGTTATTTAATGCTCTACCCATATCACCTAGTGAACGATATTTCTTCTACACCTTTTCTTTTTGTTCACTTTAATCAAGTCAGAAGTTCTATAAATTACAAATACTCCATGTTCTGATGTAAAGAAAGTTTGCTTGGTATTTTAGGTATAGTGTGTTTTTACTCTCTACTTTTTACTTCTTCATTTACATTATTCTTGATTTTTTGACATTTATGATAACCAGAACCTAACATCAGGTCAAATCCAAATACAAGAAATCTCTCCAATTCCATTTAACTCTCGTTATCTGTTGATTCAACACCTGAAATTTCTCTTAATATAAACAGAATAGGTTGAATAGCGTTATGAAAAAAATCACCATTTATTGAGTTTAGTAATCTAATACAAAAATGACGAGAATTGAAGAAATTTAAGTCGATAAGCTATTACTAATTTCAAAGCCTCACAGAAGCTAATAAGTGCTCACCTTGAGACAGTGGATTTCTGTACCATGCCGGTTATAGATATAGGGATACCTGCCAATACAAAGAAAGCCTTTTGTGAGTCATAATCACACTGCCGAGGTTCAATGGTAGTCTCCCAGAAGAAACTACATGTTGTACTCTCTGACCTAGCAAAGGATAGACACAGTGCTTCATCCTTGTGATGAACAGTATACACAGAAATTTTGTAAAACAATGAAATTGTGATATATGGTTTACTAAAAAGTGAACTACAAAAGCCAGATGACATCTCAGTACTATCTCTTTCACTAAATTTGATTAAAAATCACATAGTATGAATCATTGAGGGTCTACCGCTGACTGGAATCAAGAATTGTATAATACAAAGCACATTGCTCTAGCAGCAGAAACTCTCTCTAAAGAAGACTTCTGAAATAGAATTCTTCAACTTTAAAGTTTAAACATAAGGGAATAAATTTTCAGCTGTTCACATCCTGATCCAACAGGATTGGCTCATGTAGCAGGGATCTAACTTCATATTTCTTTTATTCTTCTTCAAAAAGGAGGACTACCAGTTTTTTTATTTTATTCTGTTTGCTTGTTTAATAACTGTGTAATTGCTTCTCCATAGATCAGACATATCACATGTGAAAAACAAGTACCTCCAATATGAACTACAATTGAGTATTCCACACACAAAAGGATACAAAGCAATAGAATATACTATTACTGATATTGTATACCAACATCTCAAAACAAGTCAACATCTCAAAACAAGTCCATAAAAAAGTTCACTTTTATCCTGTTAACACATATCTGTAGTGATGGATTCTGGATCTAAATGAAAGGTATCAGCATATCGTTACGTCTAAAATTATATGCATTCTTCTAAGTTCTATCCGTAAGCGAATTGGGAAAAAATAAAAATAAAAAAGAGCAGAGCACTAGAATGGATACAAAACTTTTCCCAATATCTGGGCTCAAGTATATGTTGAGAGATTACTTTTTCTGAGCGACTGCAAAAAATTGCTCATTTTGTAAGAACACCACATCCCTGACAGTTTCTCTAACCTGAAAAGAAAGCAATATACTGCATGAAGAACAATTGAACATGCATAAAAAAAGAAATAATAAAATAATCAGTTAATGATGTACGTTCAACAGGTATGATGGAATAATTAATTTAAAAAAGGAAATTATCTCTTAGAAGACTCCTTCATATTACACTACAGTGAAGTTTTAAAAAAAATATTCAGAGATTTTTCCCTCTTTCTCCAGCGACGCCATTTTTAGCTGTGCATTTGTAGAATAAACAAAATTTAGGAGATTCCACTTGAATTAATCATTACAGGGAGCTAATGTTAAGCTATTGAAATGAACTGAAGCCAAGCTCTCACTGAATCATAAGTTGAAAGAAAATTGAATTTGATCAAAATCATCCAACATAAAATTTGAATTACTTGAATAGAAAAATCCTGCTGTGGCAGAAAAATATTAACTGCTCAAACAAAATTTGTCCAAATGGAACCTATGTCAAGCCTCTAAGTGCCTATGAGAACATAATAAGTCAAAAAATCCAATCTATCATCTACTGCATAACCCATTTGTTGCAAGTACTACCTGTAGACCCGATTTCTAGATGAGATGTGAAACTGTATTTGGATCTACGTCATCAGTTGCATGACTCCTAAAGTTATAGTGTGTAAACAATGATAGATTATGGGAGAAGGGGTTAAGTATCGTGATATCAAAAGTCAACAATTTATAAATATATATAAAAAGAATTCCCCTGATTTGCACCTAGAACTGACCAACAATCATGTAAATACAACAATAAAAAGATGAATATGGAGTTGCACATTTACGCACACAACTTTTTTCAAGAGATCATAAGTCAGAGATGATAACACAACAAACCTGAAACTCCTTAATTATATCCATAGTTATCATATCAATCATTGCTAGGTGACCCTTGCGCCCTCCCATCATCATGTAACGACCACTCGTTGTGTATCCGAGTGTATATGGTCCTAACTCTGCACATTTATAAGAAATTATCATGAATCCATGTATTTAAAAAAAGTCAATCATGCAGTTAGAGTGACAAATAAAACTATAAGAAAATGGATATCATTTAACAAGATGGTATATAGAAGAGTTCTGGGGGCAATCAGAAACTTATTAAGTCAAGATTGAAATACTTATAAAACTAAAAGGAAAAAATGTAAAAACATTTTAAAGCATGAAACCAGTTGCATATTGCTGAAACAAATAGTTGATCAATTATGTTTACCCGGCAATATCACATCAAATGGCTTTCTAGAATTATTAATATCTACTTCTTGAAGTATATCCTCCTGCTTGATCCTCCATGTCTTCTCTAAACCTTCGGCTTCCAGATAGCCTTCCTCACAAGGCATAAGCCACTAAAAAAGAAAAAGACTTGAAAATGTCAATCCCAAACAAAACACGTTGCAATTGCATCCTTGAACAATAAAAGAGTTCACCCAAAACAAAATTGAAAACAATAGCATACTAACCTTCATCAACAGACATGTTTTACATCACAAAGACAGGATGCTCATGTTTTTAGGACATGTATAAAACACTTAAATATATAAGAAGCACTTAGACATAGTCACACGATACTAGCAGCTAGTATCATCACCTAGCAAGCACAGAAATATTACATATTGATGATTCATCTAGCAGTGAGGAAAATACAGCAATCACAATTTACAATGAATAACAATACCATCTAACTGTTATTAGCTGGTAACTGGAGGCATCATGTTTCAATGCTAACTTGTGGTTTACGCATGAATCCAGGCTACTTTGGATACTCAAATCACTACACTCTGAGTTTGCAATATTAATTTTCAAATACAAATGACAAAATGACAAAAAGTCTGTGAGTATAAACTCTTTAGAGATAGCTTTTAAAGTCATGAACAAACAATGCAACACTAATATATTGCAAAATGCAAACAGTTTAAAAACGGCTGTAGTTAAACAAGCATAAATCAAAAGGAAACAAAATCCATATGTAGATGGGACTCATAGGAAGCACTCATAGACAAAAAAACAATAACACAAGTTTATCCCAAAGGAAGCACATGGGTGTGCAATAATTTAATAAAATATTGGATTAAGAGCTTGGAAGAAGCATACAAGTGGAGCCAATATAACAAAAATGAAGAATAGTCAGAACTGTTCAGGTTGTTTGATCAAGCACAACAAAGATATGAAAAGTTTCCAATAAAAGGTAGGGGCACATCTATACAGTTCACCATAGAATAAGTGATAGTAGTAACTAAAGAAGAATTCGTGCAGACGATCTAGATAACAATGTTTTTCTTGATTAACGTTATGTTTGTTCTAAGCATATAAATCATTTATTCCACTACCAACTCAAGTATCAACTTCTATGTTCTGTCTTAACCACTTCAAACATGTCGGATGTCGTCAGTGTTTTTAGTGCAAGTAGTTACTAAGATGACTCAAACTACAACTTCTACGCGGGTACATTGTGAGAATTGTTGTCAATCAATTTAACATTGAAATACAATAAGTTCCAACATGAAAAACTAGAGCATGAAGCTGAACCTTTTCGGCCTTAGCCGCAGCTTTGGCAGACTCCCCATATCGTTTTTCTTTAACAGCAAGTTGCCCTTTCAACTTCTTATCTTGTAGAAGCTGAAAAATTAAAGGATATAAGATATCGGTCAAATAATTTTGAAAAGGAAATTTATTCATAAACTAAACAGGAAAAACAAACCTCCAGGTTAGCTCCATCTCCCCGGAGATACTTTTTGGCTTTCAATTCCAATTCATCAGGTACATCCTGCACATTTCATGACAATAAATCAGACATATCTAAATGCATATCAAAGAACGAATCGACGAGAAAATTATCTCCTTTCACTAAAAAAAATACACAATGCTCGATACCCAAAACTAGAAGGGGGGAAAAGGAAAGAATCAAACATTAAATCACTTAACTATCAGCAAAAAAACAAACTTTTTGATACAAAGAGAAATCTCAGCCACTGACCTGAACAAAATTATCCTCTTTAGCCCCCATCTAAGCAATCAATCAAAAACAGAAACAACAAGAAAACATAACGAATGAGGGAGGAGGGCGTCGGCGGCGGGGAGGAGGGCGTCGGAGAGAGAGGAGCGCAGGTCCTCGGAGAGGGAAGAGAGAGCCGTCGCGGGGAAGGAGGAGGGCGTCGTCGCGGGGAACGAGGAGGGCGGCGTCGCGGGGAGGAAGGAAACCCTACCTAGCTGAGAGAGAGAGAGAGAAATTGGTATTTGGTTGGAGGCGGAACTCTAACATGTCTATTTATATATACGGGGTAGAAGTTGTAATAAAAATTTTGATGGGTAATATTTGCAAGAAGTTTAATTAATAGGATTAACATATAACAAGTCGTCAAATAGTTAATAATCGGCTAAAATACCAAATTGTTATTTTTATACGAACCATTTTGCTAGATTAGTATTTTTAAAAACTCCGGTGACGATAAGATATTTGGACAAATTTTCAAAACCAACCCATTTGATGATTTAATTGCAAAAAACGACCCGTTTCTATTTTATTTAGATAAACCGACCTGGTGTCAGCACTATCGCTGAAACCAGGTCGGTTTTTGAAAAAAAACTTTACGAAACTTCACGGGAGTTCAACTCCCGTGAAGTTTAGCATACTTTTAAACTTCACGGGAGTTGAACTCCCGTGAAATTTATTTCCCTCATTAAACTCCACGGGAGTTCAACTCCCGTGGAGTTTGTTCTATTGTTAAAACTCCACGGGAGTTGAACTCCCGTGGAGTTACAGGCCAAATTTCCCAGAGAATCGCTCTCTGGGAAATTTACACTGCAACTTCACGGGAGTTCAACTCCCGTGAAGTTGCAGGTTTTGCAAAAACATGCACAGCATGCATACGTCTACCTATTTAACTCATATATACAACTATTTACCTGTTGACAATAATTACTGCAATATATATATTATTTAAACACGCACGAATCAAACAATACGCAAAAAGATCACATATCGAGCTATAATTGATCCATAAAAGTATAGTATTTAAAAATTCATACAATTTATAAATTTTAACAAAATAAGTTCAAATACAACCCAATATAGCTCCTCTCCTTCCTCTCCCTCTCTTCCCCCTCCCCCTCGCTCTTCCCCGCCCCCCGCGCTGATGAGCCTCGACTATCTGAGTATCCGGCTGCGGTCGCATCAATATCAGCCTCAATGCTATCAAAAGCACGGACCTATGAGGTAAATAATTTATTAAGTACCAACTCAAGAAAAAAATATTATAATTTAGCTTAGAAACTTACGTAATCTCTCTCATTCATCCCACTAGGGATGTAACTGTCTGTCGGTAGCCGTGGCATGTGTCCAGCTAAGGGCTGTGGGTCACGTGTGATCCATCTACGTGTGATATCCCAATACCAACCCATATACGCGGTATAGTCAACAGCTGTGGGCCTCGTATCCTGGATGAAATCCTACCTGTGAGCTCACCTGTCTATGTACGCCGCACGGACTACGGCCCAGTCGGTATGATGCGAAGTAGGTCTCCGCCGACGATCGATCTGCTCGACAGGATCAGGGACATGCATCTCCACGATCTCCCAACAAATCAATGGAACTCTCGCTCTCCACAAGTCGGGACTATCTCGGCAGATGGGTGCAAGAGAATGCATATCCAGCTCCGGCGGTGTATAGCGTCTCCACTTGAACTGAAATAAAATAAAAAATTTATCAGTATCAACAACAAAACTATAATATTCATAACGACTTGAGATTTATATTTACCTGTTCGTGTTGGAGGCCATCAAGCTCATTTCGGTAAAACTCACGATGGCGCGCCACTGATCGGTACTTAGTGTACCGCACGTTATATCTATATGCAGAATAGAGAATATATAAGTATAAATTCAGTGCGAATAAATTTTGTGTGTACAATTATACCTGTACGCCAAAGGAAACTACCCATGTAGGTCACGGTGCACAAGTAAAGTAGGGCGTCCAATATGAATGCGCTCCCATGACCAAATCTGTATCAATGTGCAGCATCCCTTGAATTCTTTATTCTGCATCAGGGATACTCTACTCAGTTCTCGATACAAGTATGCCAACATCGCACTGCCCCACGATAGTGCGCTGCATACGTCAAAATCCTCTAGCAACGGCAGCCATCGTGCATGTACAAGAGTCTTGCTCGCATCAGGAAAAAGCACACACCCTATCATGTGCAATATGTAAGCCCGAGCATGGAACTGAAGCGTCTCATTACTGGCATCCTCTGGTATGTCGCCCTGAAATGTCTGACGAAGCCACGATAGCTTCATCGCACCACTCCTCAAGTCCGGAACCTGTCCAAGAAGCCGGGCACATACCTCCGGCCAACTATGATCATCGGTGCCCGTAACTGCCGGCCCATCGATCCGGAGCCCAAGTATGACGGCCACGTCCTGTAAAGTGATGGTGCACTCCCCTATATGCATGTGAAAGGTGTTGGTCTCTAGCCTCCACCTCTCAATCAAAGCAGTGATAAGCGGCCAATCAAGCCTGATATATCGAACTGTCGAACACTCCCGAAAACCAGCCTGAGAGATCAGCGCTAGAACTCTCTCATCCTCAATGACCCAAGCTGAATGGCTCTGGGAATGCTCGATCATGGTGATATCAGGTACGAGCTGCACGTCAAAAAGAATTGATTAAGTATAATGCGAAAAATTAAAATTAGTGCCAATGCTAACTAGCATATACAAAAGATGTTTTACCTGTCCTGAGCCAATATAATCTGAAACATGGCTCGCCTGGAGGGTCAAAACGTCGGGGCGTCTCGGTCCCGGATTCATAATGAATATAACTGAGAATTATATTAGAAGACAATGCTCAATGTGTTAGATCTTTTTGTTAAAATACTCATCTAGTTATATGTAAACAACAAACGAATGCGCAACGTGAAGAAAGCAATAACTTGAAACCAAACATTAAATTTATATAACATAGTACGAAACGATACAAATTACAATCACAAATGAGATACAGAAACAAACCGCCCATGAAACCGCTACAAATTACAATCACAAATGACACACGGAAACAAACACAGAACGAAACCCCTAGCATTTAACAATCACAAATGACATACGGAAGAAAACACAGATCGAAACCGCTACAAATTACAACATCAACGCCTAATCCTAACTGGACAATTATTTTTCTTATGGCCCGGTTGATCGCATCTACTACACTTATTTCTCCTCCTAACTCCTTCACGACCGTCATCCATACAATTTCTAATTCGTACGGAACGAGGGCGCCCCGCCGACCTTTTATACAAAGGAGGCAATATCAGTGGCCCGTCTATTAAGTCTGTAGAATGTTTTAGCAACTAGTGACTGTATTGGCATACCGCGTGCTCCCCTGAGCACGCTATTGAAACACTCTGAAGCGTTCGTAGTCATCATACAGAACCGTCTCCCGCCATCTTCACATAAAGCCCACTTATCAACATTGTGTGGTCCCAAACTAGTTTCGATCCAATCATGTGCAGCTCGGGAGATAAACTTAATCCTCTCTCGTATTTGGTCATAAACTAATTTTTATGTTGCACAGCCGGCTTGCCAAAGAAGATCTTGAACCTGACCGGATCCAAATTTCTTCTTGAAGTTGTCCCTAATATGTCGCAAGCAATAACGATGTGCATGTGCTCTGGGAAATGACGTTGGAGTGCTCTTGGAATTCCTTTCATCCTATCAGATATGAATGTAATCGACCGCGCACCCACACTAGGGATATGATATCTAATGCATGCAAAAAACCACGCCCAATTCTCTGTGTTTTTAATATCAACCACTGCAAACGCCAAAGGAAACAAACCGCCATCCGCATCAACTCCGGTGGCAACAAGCAAAACTCCTTTGTACTTGCCGTATAAGTGGGTGCCATCAATGCTAAGAAGAGGAAGATAATATCGAAACCCTTCAATACATGGCCCAAATGCCCAAAATACATCGGTGAACCGTCGATCTCCGCCATCAACGGGGTCCGAAGATACTTCGTAGACAGTTCCTAGATTTTCTCTTTTGAGTGCTTCAAGATAATGAGGTAAGATCTCATACGATTTATCCCAATCACCGAATATTTTTATCATCGCCTTCCTCCTAGCATTCCAACACTTGTGATATGATACATCCAAGTTGGTAGTTTTTTGCACTAGAAGACGAATATCTTTCGGCCTTAGATCAAGATTCTCCCTCAGATGCGGTAAAATCAATCGATATATGAAGGAAGAGGATGCATTCTTGTTATTCATCTCTAATCGAGGATTGCCACAAGTGTGGAGTCCGTTGTATGCCGTGATTTTGAATTGCCCGCCTACTCTTACACCGGAGCGTGAATTAAGCTTCCACGGACATTTCGCATTGCCGTCGTGGTGTCCACCAATATCTTCATCATCGCCATCTTTGCGATAGAAACAAACCGCATTATAGCTTGTAGTATTATTTTTTGTTGGCCTAAACTTGACATTTTTTGCAATGGCGTACAAGCGAAGCGCATGGATCAATTTCTCCTTGCTCTCATATAGATCTCCCTTCACGAATGAGAAGTCCTCGCCCTGTGTATCATGACCGCTATTAGTGCCAATAGGAACACTTTCCATCACAGAGTTATCGATCCATTCTTCTCCTTAAAGTTCATCGGGCGACGGATCCTCTAAGACAACATACTCATTATTAGCATAACACCCGTCAATGTGGTGGTTGTCCCCTTCATCACGATCTATCAAGGTCATGCTATTAATTTGTAAGCCCTCCTCTTCATCATCATTCTCAGATTCAACACTTGCATTATCTTCTTGAACTCCCGTGTTAGTATCGACCGCATTCGAAGTGCCCACAAGCGAAGGACCGCTCATATATTATGATTGTGTCCAACCTTCATCTTGTTGAGGAGATAAAAAGCCAATGGAATCAACATCAGGATCCTCCAACATGCGGGAATACATTCCATCATAATTCAACGATTTGCCCAAATTCCTTTGATGTTTTTCAATGATCAATTCAATCGAACGCTTCTCGTCATGTAAGACTCCAATGAGACTCATATTGTAGTCACTTGATATTTGAATGCCGCTTGTCCTGTTCTCCACGACAGGATAATTGCAAATAACATTAAGGTGATACTCACGTGAGTTGGTTAATGTAAGTTTGTGCAATTCATTAACCAACTCATCGAAAGTACACGATTTTGTTATAAACAATGGTC